CATACAAAAGTTTGTTGCTTAAAACACAAGCAAAAGTTTACATTTATAATACATTGTATCTGTCTTAGTTGTAGCCTGTGAATAATATACTGATGAGTATGTCAGCTAGTAAGTAGTTTATATTGCTTCCCTTTCTTCCACACACGTGAATGGTGGAATTTGAGTTTTAGTGTATACATTCAACAGAGAACACCTGGTGGTTAAGAATGAGAATATATGTAATGGAAGTTCACTCTGTAAGGGAAACTAAAATATTTTTTGATAAACAAGAGGATAACATACAAAATATAATTGGGAAACAGCATAAATAAAAATTAAATAATCATGTTTGCTTTCATAAATGCATTTAACATCCATGTTCACATTTGTGCCTCAACATATTTATTCAAACAAACATATAATTATCTTACAGAAGTACATGTAAGAAATATTAGGCCTTCACAACGAGGAACATTTCACCTAGCGTTGTTTATGAACTGGATAACTCAGTCAGTGCTGTGATTAGGCTATAGGCTAAACGACTGGATAATGGAGGTTCTATTCTAAGTGGAGATCTCTTTCCTACCACATCCAGACCAGCTCTGGGAGTCCACCCAGCCTCCTAGCCAATGGGTACTAGAGGCTCTTTTGCCAGAGGTAAAGTAGCCATTGTGTAAATCTAACTTCTTACCTCTATCTTAACACCAAGGCTGTAGCATGGCAAGAAAGCTAAGGTTTCTTTTGGACTGTAAAAGTTTAGTGCCAATGTTTCAAATTTTACCTAGTACTGTTAAGGTAGTAAAATCTAGCACGTGGCTGTGATCTAGGAGACAATGAATGTGTACTGAATTTGGGTATCCAAATCTCTTCGGGAATGCCTGCATGGAAATAGATGAGAGGATAACAATACGGTGAATCTGAAGATGAAAGATAGACTGCCCTAGCTCAGGATTGTGTCTAATGGTGGCCTGTGACATTTGCAATGTTAAATTTCAGATTATGTTAAAACTATTAATTATATATGAGAGTTGTCAAGGAGGTGCAAGACATTGTGTTCTGAGGCTGGTATACAAACTAAATTGTGTAATTCGTGAAGCAAATTACAATCAGTTGTAGTAAAAAATTTTGATTTCATAGTTTAAAGGATAATCTGCTGCAGCATTAGAAATTCTTATCATATTCAAGTGGGGCATTTTCCATTTCTGCTTAGCTACCAGAAATGGAAAAAAATTACTGACAAATCTGTTCAATATATAAAAGGATCACAATATATTTTTTTTTAAATTATTAAGTCATATCATGGTCTAGAGCCTGGCCTACATTCAGATTGGGTCGTCACATTAATGTAGCATAAGTCACCACTCCATAACCTAATGTCATCAGCAAATGATGTGATTCACATAAAATTATTTGTATTATTTTGTTGACTTAAATTAATTTGTTATTTATGCTGTCTTCCATTTTGAGGTGCATTTTTGATCATCTGCCATGAAAAAATATGTACTCTATTCAAAACATATATATTTTCTCAAGCTCTCTAGAAATATGCTTTTGTATGTTTTGCCCAAACATACCATGAATTTTTGCAGTACTCCCAGATCAGTTATGGGTACCAATATGTGAAACACTGTTTGTTATTATACAGAAAAGTGACAAGAATATGAACTGCAAGATATATGCAATGAAACCTCTTGGAAAGGGGCAATGTTCAGGCTCTACCACCAAATAGTTTCCATTTTATTCAGGAGCCCTTACCAGTTTATAGAATAATTTCTCCCTGGAGTTTCTGAAGTGCGTTTTTGAGTCTAAAATAATAATTTCCAACTAAAAAAACTCTGTGGCCTGTAGTCCGCAAGTGAACTATACTGATCGAACAACTGCCGCTCACTTGCAAAGTTAGTGCCAACTTTCATGGATAGAGGGTGTCATGTGGTTAGCGCAATGGATCCCCACGGCCGTTAATCTTGGTTTTCTAGGCTGGAAAAAAATTCCAATAGTTTTGTAAAATTAATTGAAGAAAAGTGGTGTACTGAATGCCCTACTTCCACACACATCAGCACATTGTACTTGAATGGAATACTCAAAGACACTTCATTCATTAAAGATTGAATTACATACATTTAAAATTTTTCTGAATGCTGAACTAAGCCCAAATGATTTGAAATATATTTATTAGAACACACAACAAATCATTAAGCCAAGTATAAATTTAAGACTAAGCAACTTCACAACCTGCTTTTTGTATAACCATGAAGTCCAGCATAGACATAACACAGTGATGAACTTCATCACCTTAATCCATGTATCACAAGGTTAAAACGTTCATGAATGCCAACAGATTTCCTTATATTTCTCTTTATTAAAACTTATATAACTTATTACCACTTAAACATTAAGACTGTTTATACATAAATTACAATATACTGAAACTGGATCTGCATTGTGGGTCTTGGCTATGGACAGGTGAACCATTAGCAGTCCATGTATTCAAATTCTAAATCTCATATTCAGATGATTATAAGAAATGGAAGGTGGAGGGTGGGGGGAACTCTGAACTTTATAAATCATAATACCTTAGAATAACATTTAACGGAACGGCAATTACAAGTTGTATTCACAGAGCACCACCAGAACAAGAATTTCATACCAAACAAGCTGGTCTCAATGTGGGCTTGTGTTTGGGAAGCGTTTGGTTTAAATCTTAGCAGGGACACTGGTTATCGTGACTGAAATATTTTGTGGTTTCACCCATTCCTTTCAGGCGGGGGGCAGGGATAGTGCCACAATTAGGCTGTAGCCACTTCCCACCAAATCCATTCCAGTCCATCACTCTTCCTACAATTCAACACTACACATTCTGAATATTGAATGCATTGTTAAATAACACAGGGAAAAGGGTGGGGGAGGGGGGATTTCACTATAATGAGAAAAATGAAAACAATCGGTTCCATTGTCCTATTACAGATGAATAATAAAAAATTATGAAAGCTACTGTACTGGACATACATAAAGAAAAATTACAATAATACAACATAGCTATTTTCATAAGCAAGATGTGTAACAAATAATGAAAGCTACATACATTTTAGACAAGCGGTGCCTGATCTTTTATGGGAATTGCAGTCTACGGAGAATGTTCTGCATACATATACAAATATATGTAAGCATATTAATCAAAACGATTTTTACAGTGCAAAATTTATTAGAAATATTAATTTAAACAGAAGGTATACTTTATGCAGTAGGCATAGTTTACATAAAATTTGCTCGTTAACTCATAAAATCAACATGAACATTAGTACACCTATGGAACATAATTTTACAGCAATACCGCTAATTTCACATTGAGAATCACAATCTCTCCCAAACATTATGAAATATGGGGTGTATTACAAGGCTGCATCCTGTGGACAATAACCAAGATGTGGTTTATCTGCATTCATTTACTGTTGAGCAAGTGAGATTGTACACTGTTCTTTGTTGTGTAATCCTGAGAGAAGAGCAACAGAGTTTATATATATGAATTCCCAGAAAATCAGGCAGCATATTTGCAACATACCATTTCATACTGTGATCATATTCTTTTAATATAGAATAAAAACTTACCTAGTTCAGGGGAACAATGTACTGTGGTCATATGGTTGGGCAAACCTGTTCTGGAAATTGTGTTACCAAACAGTTTTCAAATAGTATTCACATGCAATGTCCCCAAACTAAGCTCAACTCATTGTTTCAATGGTAGGCCAAATACTGCCCAAGCAGGACATGCTGGACTACATGAAGTAACATCGTAATTAGGTACGAGGGGCGTTCAAGTTCTACGGTCTCCAATTTTTTTTCTCAGGGCTGGGAGCAGATAGACACATGCGGTTTAGTTTAAAATACGTGTGCACTCTTTGTGAATGCAGGACTGTATGGCACACAGAACTCTAGTGGTGGTGGTGGTGAGAGTGAGGAGTGTTTTTGATACCTAAAATGGCGATGTTTTCGTTACAAGAACAGCGAGTAACCATTCGTTTTCTCCACTTGCGTGGTGTGACACCCACTGAAATTCATCGCCAGTTGAGTGAGACATGTGGTGATGGTGTCATGAATGTGAAAAATGTGCGTTCATGGTTGCGACAGTTGAAAGAAGGCTGAACATTGTGTGACAACGAACCAAAACAATCTCAGCCTCGCACCAGCCGGTCTGACAACATAGTCGAGCGAGTTGAGAAAGTTGTTTTGGAGGATCGCTGATTGAGTGTGGAAAACATCGCCTCCAAAGTTGGCATTTCCGTGGGATCTGTGCACACAATCCTGCATGAAGACCTGTGAATGCAGAAAGTGTCCTCCAGGTGGGTGCCACGCATGCTGGCGGACGACCACAAGGCTGGGCGCATGGCAATTTGCCAGGTGATGTTGACATGTGATGAAGGCATGAATGGGACTTTCTTTTCATCAATTGTGACAATAGATGAGACATGGATGCCGTTTTTCAATCCTGAAACGAAGCGCCAGTCAGCTCAATGGAAGCACACAGACTCACCGCCACCAAAAAAATTTCAGGTAAGCACCAGTACTGAAAAAATGATGGTGGCCATGTTTTGGGACAGCGATGGTGTAATCCTTACTCATTGCATTCCAAAGGGCACTACGGTGACAGATGCATCCTACCAAGATGTTTTGAAGAACAAGCTCCTTCCAGCACTGCGAGAAAAACGGCCAGAAAAGGCTGCACGTGTGCTCTTTCACCAGGACAATGCACAGTGCATTGGGCGTAAGCAACACAGCAGTTTCTTCATGAAAACAACCTTGAAGTGGTTTCTCATGCTCCCTACTCACCTGACCTGGCTCCTAGCGATTTTTGGCTTTTCCAGTGACGAAAGACACTCTCTGTGGTCGCACATTCACCAGTTGTGCTGCTATTGCATCAGCGATTTTCCAGTGGTCAAAACAGACTCCTACAGAAGTGTTCACAGCGGCCATGGAATCATGGCACTGACGTTGTGAAAAATGTGTAAGGCTGCAGGGAGATTACATTGAAAAGTGACAGAAGTTTCAAATTTTTTGTATGATTATTGTGAGAAAATCGGAGACCTTAGAACTTGAACGCACCATGTATTTACAACAGCTCCCATGCTATACAACGTCACTTAAGGTAAGACATAAGGGGTTAAACACATTAACAATAAACATTACCACATGAGAAACTCAAAGTACGTCTATGAATTGTTCAGAAAAGGAGAACTTACCAAACAAAATCTTATACTCTTGCATCCTGTGGTATATAACAATTTACTTCTGTCACATAAACAGTCAATGCAATGTATATTCAATAAATACTGACACTGTTCTTTTGAGTTACCTGCTCACCATCACCAGGCCCCAGACTGTGAATATGTAGAATTAATCAGCAAAATGTGTTATTTAAATAATATATATTGGATGTAGGGTTCTCAGAGCAGTGACTATGAAGAGTATTGTCTTCTGGGATGTGATGCCGTGTAGTCTGGTAAAAGTTCAAAGATGTTTTAGAGGAATGTAGGTGAACTTCTACCTCACTTCACAATGTTGCATCCCAAAAGACAGGACCCTATATAACATTTAGATTAACACAATTTTCATCAGATGTACCTATCCATTAGGTAAAGGGTGAGGCGAAGGTTGGACTAGATTCACCCACAGGACAGGATCTAATTGTGGGCTGTTTTATATATCAATTAAATAATAAAATTCTCTTTACAGTTATGGAGTTAGGTATAATGGCAGTTCCACAACTATATATTATGCATATAATGCCAGAAAGCTGCATGTATTCCAATTATGGTGGGCACAACACCCCAGAACATAATGCACATGTGAAGTATTAGTGACATTTGGATTGCATCGTCTGTTGGTTTGTTACTATAGTTCAATATGAATCAAAGTGTTTATTCTCTCAACCAATTCTTACACATGTAAAATGAGAAAGTTCCAACTGTCTATTCCAGTCATGCTGTTCAGAAGAACCTGTAATGCAATATATGTATGTCACGCATTAGTGAAATTTAAGCTGCATTCTGTGTTGGTATGTTACCCAGTTCAATATAAGTTGACTAGTTCATTCTCATATGTATGCTTATAGAGCAACTTGTGAGTGCACAGCAAAAATTTTTGCTCGAAGAAGTATCCAATCAGCAGTCAGCTGCAAGTAGAAGAGCTTAGATAAGTTTGAGAAGTCTTTATCTCTTCAGTTCAGACAGCCCTAATGATGAAAATGTTGAGTTACTTTTAATTTTGTATATCCTCACAATAACCACCCCAAAGAAGTAGAAACATTGCCACACCTGCATCATCAATCCAACCTTAACGCAATATTTTATTATATGTAACTGAACATTAAAGGCCAGACTTGTTACATATTTCAACCACTTTAAGATATTACAAGTGTCTGTTAGAATAATATATATTTTTTTTTAATTTCATAAACTTTCATTATAAACTCAAGGTGGCACTGCAGTTATCATGAAACTTTAGCAAAAGGCATTTTGTTCAGCCTACTTAAAATAAATTAAAAGTTGACAAAAACAGAAACTACTGAAGATCTCAACTACAGTGGAACCTCGCTTAATGAGCATAATTCGTTCCAGAATCTTACTCGTAATGTGAAACACTTGTTAAGCGAAATAATTTTTCCCATATAAATTAATGTAAAATACGATAATGCATTCCATGCTGAAAAAAATACTCAAAAAATTTTATGTATAACGTTTATTCAAAGAAAATTATATATACATTGTTAAGGAGCGTGAATCATATTCATCTTTTCTTCTATGCGGAATGAACCAACCTGGAATGCGAATTCGATTTGCAGAAAAAAAAATCGAAATAATTAGTTTATTATTTATGATACATATCTAATTCTTTTTTACTAGAAATCTGTCTAGAGACATTTGTTTTTGCCAACGCTTCAAAATTTGGTGAAAATGCGACACAGCATTATCATTAAATAAATACATTTGTAGCGCGCATAGCCACTGCCTTATTAGGGTGATGTTTCTCAACGTATGATGCAACAGTTTCCCATGCTTTCAGCATTTCTCTAATTGTGCCAGAAGATTGTTGCTTTGCTGTTACCTCCTCCTCCTCTGACAAACTCTCCTCCACAGCTTCTTGCTGTGAAACACAATGCAACTCCAAATCGTGCAAATCGTTGATGTAGACCGATTTTATGTGCGTGCTAGATCAGCCACGCTCACACCTCGGTCTCACTTTTCAGTGATTTTATGTTTCATTTCTACAGTTATTTTTATTCTCTTATGGCTGTCTTTTTGCGGCTTTTTCTTCGGGGACATTTTTGCACAAAAAAAATCACAAATAATATGTCTGAACACAAGTTTGGAAAAATGTGTGATCACATGCGACACTAAGATGCTAGCAGAACGAGTGCTAAACACAGACTGCTGTAGCAAGTGCAGAATCTGGGACTTCCCCTCGTCACTCGATATGCGAAACATCGCTCATTAAGAGAGTCATTTTTTTACAATTTGTTTTGCTCATTATGTGAATTACTCGTTATGAGAGGTGCTCGTTAAGCGAGGTTCCACTGTATCATGTTTTATATTTATCCAGCAACATCAGTTAGTTTATTCATTTACCTACATGAGAGTCAAAGAAGTTAAAATATATCACATGTGACTGAAGAAGAGAACAGCAGGCTAGCTTAGAATCACTACACAACATACAAATTCATGTAGCACAGAAACAATTTGTAAATATCTCAGATTTTCAGTACTTTCTATAGGGTGCATGATATTAAGACTATTCTCTCCACATATATACAGTAGAAACTGAAAAGTTACTCTCATTAAGCATTTCAACAAGGCAGTACTTTCATTTTAAAACGCTCTTTAAGTTGAAATATTATAACATGGACTGCAGTATTTTAAATGTACTGGGGATAGTTTGAAACTGTAACTATATTAGTCATGTCTCAAACAGTTAACTATAAGTGACCATTAATATTCATTAACATATGCATGAAGCAAACAAACAAACAAGAAAAGGAAATTGTCAATCAACTTACAAGAAGGATCCAGTTAAAAAATTACACAGAAGACAGCATAACAAATAAAGCTGTGTAATTTGTATTACAGAGTATGCGATGCTCTGCAATAGGTGACCAAATAGCTACGACATATTTTATGACACTCCACACTGAAAAACTAGTTGCGTGCATAACAGAGTATAAGCACCATATTATTGTATTACATAAGCTTGGAAGCTTTCATGGCAAATAAATATGCTTATATCTTCTCAGGTGATCGACTGTGATGGAGACCAAGATTTTGAAACAATGATTTTTGGTTCAACACTGACAGAACTGATCGCCTGAGAAGGTTTTAGCACCTCACATTACTGGTACATGCAAAATGGATAGAAGATATTAAAGGAAAGAGTTAACATCACAGAATGATCATACTGGGGACAATGCCACATATTTTATTGCCATGTGGAGCATGCTGCATCATTAATATGATGTCACTAATTCCAAAATCTGAAACATAAAATCAGGTCATTACCTACACATGAATTTGTGTGAAACTGATGACTTCACATTGACTGGTGGTTATCATGATGGTAGGCAGACTGCACTGATTTCTAAATATTCTCCTGGAATAGGGGAATTATCTGATTTTACTGTAAAGGTGAGAATGGAATTATTTTAAGAGTATAATAAACAGTAATTAAATTACAACATGCAGATTCCAAAATAAATTATGCATGTATTTTAAATACAAAAAATCATTTTCATTCAAATCCCAGAGATGTGCATCTGTATAGGAGGTGTTTGAGCTTGTAGTTCCATTCCTAATTACGCAGTGGAATCTCTATTTAGTGTTCCTTGATATAAGAATTCCTTTCATTTAACATTAATTTTTAATGATCCTAAGTCAATAATCTGAATGATGAAATTTTCCCTTTTTAGGATATTCCTCTGCTCGGTGTTCAAGTCCACTATTCTCCGAAGAAACATTAAACGGAGTTTTCGCTATATGGTTTGTGCTAGACAGTTCTCATGTTCCGCCATGCACCAACTCATGTGTCTGTGCAACTCAGGATTGATAGTCACAAACTCTGATCTCCAAATTCCAACTGTTGAAATCTGACCCATTACTAATTAACAATTCCCAGTGGTTCATCCTATATAGCCTCAGCGGAGACTGCATAGAAAACATTGCTTCCAAGAATTCCTCCAACACTGAGTGACACATTAAGCCTGTTGCCTAGCGATGGACAGAATATTGTTGATGTAGGAGCGTGTTTTGGTTGCTGCTAAAACATGTTTATTGGCTGTTGCCTAGCAATGGATGACTTTCGTTGTTAAACTACGCTGGCTTTTGGCTGTCATGCCACAATATAACAACAGCACAGTTCTTGTCCATTATCACAAGAAATAACATAAAGCAGGTTTCATTATCTTCCCCTTACAGTTATCAAATTGATTATCAAATTAATTATTTCCTAAAATTTTATAGTGTAACAGTCATAACATGGTCTGTAATTAAAATGAATGTAGTTTTTCAACGTGGAGTGCCATAAAACATGTCATGTCATTTGGTCATCTAATTTGAAAACATTTCTGTATACAGTGAATTTTCTAAGACAATCAGTTCCTCACAGTATCATGGTAATGATAACAGTACATAGTACATATTTTATGTCCAGGCACACAGATATAGAAAATAACAACATATATGAATGACTTAACTGAAGTCACAACATTGTGATTTATATCAAACAATAAATGATATATTTACAACAATGTTCTTATCACAAGTTAGGGGCAGAGCAACTATGATAATATCTGCTGAATAAAATGTCCTTTATACCAGAAATTTCCTCCTCATTTTGCACATTCTTTACAGTTTTTCCTGAAAAATAATTCTCTCCTTTCTGAACACAATGAAATTAGAATAAGAACTGTTCTAACAGAATCTTTACTAGTTACAGTTGAAGCATTTACATGAATAATAATATTTGGTCATGAGCTTACCAGAATAAACACACCACATAGGTATTTCCCCTACTAGAGAGGATTTTCTGATTCTGCGGTATAGCTTTTCACGCGTGAAAACCAGTAAGGTGGATATCGGTTTCTTGGGAGATCAAACGTTGTGGTATTTTCCTGACCGTTGCGGAACCTGGTAAATACTGAATAACGCTGCCACACCAGCTGAGCATGGATGCGATTTCGATATGTCACAATTTGCAGCTCCTAAATAAACAACATACCAAAATGTTAAAAATAGAACAATCTGACTTCCTTGGTTGGTTTCCCACATTAAAAGAAAGAAACAACTCAGTCAGCAATTACTGTGACACCTGTAGTCTGGCGGACCACTGCCATTTCAAGGGAACCTGCTGCCTTCATCATCTGGGTAGAAGAGTAAGGCACACATGAAAAGAAGTGATATGGATTCAGGATGGGACCAGAGCCCTGAGCAAACCACAATTCCACCAAAATTCCACAAGAAATACTGAATTGGCTTTTCGAGACATGTACATACAATAAAATTCACCTTTAAAAATGTTCTGAAAAACTGACAGTGTCACTGAATGCTTTCACTTACACAAACAAATTGGAGGAATTTATAAATAATTACACAATATAGCGATCTGCTCATCTGCAACTTCAATCAGGATAAAGTATAATATACTAAACAGATGTTAACTTCAAACTTTCACCCTATTACTATATTTGAACTTTTAATACAAAAAATCTTCACACAATACGTGTAACATATGAAATGGTTCTCTTCTAAATGAAATGGTATATCAAGCATAGTTGTATGATATATTTTACAAACTCACCATATGAAAGGTCTGTTCACCTAAGTCCTGGGTGCCTTCCCTTCGTCTACCACGATTACGATTGTTAACAGCCATTTTAACTGCTGAGTCTTGTCGATGAAGGACAAGAACAACACGGTCTTCAAGCAAACAATAATGCCCCGACAACATGGCAGGATTTTTTGGAATACGATGCCTTAGTTGTCCCAAGCTTGACAAAGGGTCATCAGGGGTTGTCAACATCAGAACCAACCCCTCAGGAAAGAACCTGAGAAGAAGTACAAAAAAAAAGGGTAGGTAACACAGTACTCATACTGCTGTACTTATATTGTGCAGAAAGCATAAAGATAGCTAAAATATCTGCAAATTTTATGAGAAGCAACACTTTACAACCATTCTCATTACTTTGACAATGTCTGTTAAAAAGATAATTTTATTCTTGAAAATACATGATGTTCCCAATAATCTGTTACTTTCAATGCCTGATTTCATACACTGGCAAAGACATGGAGGTTTTATTTGCTTTACAACACTGCTAATGCACTAGGTCTGCATAAAAAGTGGTAGTCTCCATTGTCTAAAGCAGACTAAGAGCACATTTTGATGATAAATCTGATAAAGATCTCCAATAACAAATGCAATCAAAACTCATTCATCTTAGAATAGCGTTGCCACCTGTACATATAGATAGACAGACACAGGAAAACTATCAGTTATTTGTTTTTTAAAATGAACCTACAAAGTATTGTCACATGTGTGAATGACTATAGATGGGGGTCTGGATTTGTGACTCGATTTATTTACCACTTATAGACTCATGACTCGTGACTACACTTTACAGATCAGTGACACACACAGACTAGGATCCTCAGTCTATTACAGTCTCCACTCGCCATTTCCTGGCAACATATTTTAACACAAGAACTACAGCAGTCTCACTGAATTACACACTCCAAATACCACACATGAAAGTCTTCTCTTCACAGCTCGACTTTCAACAGAGCAATCTTGCACCTAACCTGTGACCATTTCACCCAAACCTCCTAGGCCTTCTCTTCACTGCCTGACTATCAATTAACTAAACTCATAGTCAGAGTCAGAGTTACTTTACGACTGGCTGTTTACCACCAAGCAGTTCATCTTGATGTCAAGCCCCTTGAGGTTCACCACCAGTGATCTTTTTCCAATTGAACCCTTGCAGTCATAGTCCTTATGTAACATCCTCTCTAATGAGAGCCAGCTCAGTCATTCTTGATTCTGAGTCCAGTGGGGCTCATGACCATATTTTACTGTCTCTGATTTGAGTCTCCTACATCCTGGAGGGTCAGGTCCCAATATTCACATCCCCCAGGAACAGTGTGGCCCAGTTATAATCCCAGGAACTGGGTTCCCTTTTTGTCGCCTCCTACGACTCACAGAGTTATGGTGGAGGTATTTGAACCTGCCTCCACATGGGGTACTGACTAAGCTCAGTAAGAGTAAGAGTGAGACTTACTTTACAAATGGCAGTTTACTGCCCCTCAATTCGTCTTGCCTACAAGCCCCTTGAGACCCATGACCAACAATTTTTTTTTCAACTGAACATTTGTTGCTGGCCATCGCCAATGTAGTCATTCTCAGGTCCAAGTCCTGTGGACTCATGACATTTTACTGTCTCAGATTCGAGACTCCCCCAACCTGGAGGGCCAGGTATACATATTTATAACCCCTGGGAAGAGGGTGCCCCAGTTATTACCCCAGGCACTGGGTTCCCTTTTCTTTGCTTCATACGACCTGCAGGGCTATAATGGAGGTATTTGACACCACCACCACACGGGGAATTTTCCTTCACAAAGCTCTAAATCTCGTCTCACTTATAACTGCTCTGCATGGACAATGCAGAAAACACAACCTCTGTTGCTGCATCATTGTAGTATTCATGTCTGTTGCCATGGCAACGAGTTTACTGAGCTGCTGCCTAGACGTGGCTCTACATGCAATAGTATATAAATTATACACAAGCATGATATCTATAAACAAAAGTATACTACAAGATTTTGTACATATTTTTTTGCCATATATTTCACTTTTTCTGAGTAAAATTTTGATGTTTCTGAAGTCAGCCATAACATGAATTCCTTGTACACATGAAAGTAACAAACATGATCTTCACATTAAAACACCAAGAGATTTTCTGACTTACTGGAAATTGTGGAAAAAATTAAAATAAAGGAGTACTGTATTTGGAAAAGACAGACAAAAATATTATACATTAAAGTATAAACATGAATGCTGAAACACAATGAGGAATGCAAAAAGGATGTGTCTACCTGAGATATCGATAGTACTCCACCACGTGCCAAGGTCTGTAGAAATGATCCTGGAAATTGTTTTCTCCACTACGCACATACGTTGTCTTACTGATGTAACAGCCATTGAAGTGCAGTCTGGGACGTTCAATGAACATTTTTCGCCATGATTCATAGGGGGTTAACCCTCCACAATTCACTCCCCAGACACTACATAACAAGAACTGTGGATTATAAATCTGCATCTCAGTGTTGTAATTACAAATTGCATAACCCCAATTAATATTGATAATTTAGTAACAGATTTACTGTCTACATGGCACTGAAAAATTCACTTTTGAAATTGATAGTGTCACCCTTGACAATTGTGCAGAATGGAGAGAGATAAAAGACCACAAAGGAACTCACTAAACATAAAAGTCACATAAATATGCATGTCTGCCCAAACTGCCTGCAAACCCAGGAGCTACATCCAAAAATTAGGAACTAGAATTTATACATATGTAAAAAACTTAGCTGAGAAATATGTTTATTTTTAACAAAAGTGATGATTATGAAAATTAATGCAATGACAGTGATCACGATGACAAATGCTTCCTAGTAATTTACCGTGCACAAGCCAGTCTCCATATTTCAGGATCTCGACTGCAAAGGTAGAATCCACGACAAACATGTGAACACATTTCCAGTGATCTCAGGTCCAAATCTGATGACACCACCCAACGTAAAATGTAAAGTATTATTTCCATGGGCAGTGCAGATATGTGAGTTGCCTGAAAGACACATAAGTTTTGTAAACAAGACAGAAATAACGATGCTTGCCATTCTTTAAAGCAGTATTACTACCAAGGCCTCATGAATTATGAACTGAAAACATAGTGAGAGGAACTGGTTGTGGTCTAACTTGAGGCTTCTCCAAGCATATGCATGAAGAAACTGAGGAAAATCATCAAAAACTGCAGTAAGAAAATATGGTCTTCAAGTCAAAATCTGAGTGTGCGATTTATGAATATGAAACAAAAGTGCCAACAACTTGGCCGTGATGTCTGGTACAGTACTTCACAGATTCACATTCTTACCAAAGGTAATTTCAACATACAAAGTAATGATCCACACAGAAACTGAAAAATATTCACAATCACTCATTTTTCTCTTTACCACAACATCAAAACACAATTTCCTCAGAGGTTTTCTCTTGTGGTGTAAATGTGGCCAGAATGTAAAGTTGACCACTCACCTCTGTCTAGTATCATGAATAATGAATGAATGGACTTTCACATCCAGATGCCTATACTCACTCATGGAGCTGAGCCCTTCTTGAGATGCCGCCAAGTCTGCAGCTACTCAAGAATTTCCCAGCATTTTATGGAACCCAAAGGTTAATTATCATGTTCACTAGAGCCCTCCACTGGTCCCTATCCTGAGAAAGATCAATTCAATCCATACCATCCCATCCTATCTCTCTCCAGATGCCTATACACCTGTGCAAATTACAGGGATGAAATTCACTCACCATCTTTCACTAAACTTCACACACTTAACAACAATATCAGTTATGAGTAAATAAAAAGGTAATTTATATTCTGCTAGCACCAAATAATTGGAAAAATTACCTTAAAAGATTTTTGGGATACATTCCAATATGAAGTTAAAAGGAGCACTGTTACTGTTCCCACCTTCAAAGTAGCCAAAAATTTATTATGGGAACACACAAAACCTGCTTTCACCCTATAGCACACATTTTCGTTTGAATAGTGGTGCAAAAAAGACAGTATTTTCATTCCTTAAGGTCTCTGACTGGTGCAAGAAAAATAGCATTCTAAATCATTTGTAACTTCAATTCAGTTGATTTACTTTATGTGGAAGTTCTTATCTTGATACACAGGAAATTCTAGTTTGAACAGTTAAAGTCAATGGTTAGGAATCAAAAAGTTTATCTTTCTACTTACAGTGGAATATCTACTCAATGATCCCAAGTTATCCCAGTGTTAAATTTCCTTCATATAAGATTGTCTTCATTTCTAAGTTGAAATCCACTGATCCAAAACAAAACCTTAAATGGAGTTTCATTGTAAAGTAAAAAAAGTAAAGCAATCCCTGTAACAGACCGTGAAGGCCCATAGGGTTGTGAGATGTTGAGGGTCCCACACTATCGAGACAACAGGCTCAAAGATGGCGGTAAGGTACCTTTATTAATTTATGATAGATACCATGTGATTGCTTTAGGAGTTGCAAGCCTTAGGGCTATATTTTTCTCTTCTTCATATTACATAACTGCACAATATAACTGTTTAATGGAAAGCTCCACTTAGCTCTCTGTCAATCTGCAGTTTTACGAGGTTTAATCTTCATCATCTTCGTTAATATTACATGCTGACTGTTCTCCAAACAAATCTTTATTTGTATTCCACACCATTTTTCAATCCTATATCTTTAAACTGCCTGCAAACATTTATTCCGTCCACTGTAAATTTCCCAATCTCTCAAATGGTTGCACTGGACAAAACAATATTTTAAGTACTTTACAGAGTACAATTCTGTAGTTCTCATCAATATAACTTTGGACCTTAACAGAAAAGTAGCATCTTTCTTGCAAATCATGTTATCAAAGTCAGTTATGTGTACAGAAAATACTGGAAGGACAAAGTACACTGCTTTGCGCCACAGCTCAAGCGGTTAGTCACTGGCTTTCCACCGTGGCGGCTCAGGTTCGATCCCGGGTCTCATCAAGTGGGATTTGTGGTGGACAAAGTGGCGCTGGGGCAGGTTTTCTCTGAGTACTTCGGTTTCCCCTGCCAATCTTCATTCCACCAATTGCTCCAAAATTACCTTCGCCTATCATCTGGGGCTGGTACAATTGGCCAGAAGTGGCCGCAGTACAAGGGACTTAGTCCCACCCCACTAGCAATAAAAAAAATAATACTTCAAAATTAATACAACCACTTTCTCTGTATGTGCAACAAAAGTGGAAGATGTACTGTGGTGAACTACACATACAGATATTAATGAAATGCTTCTGCACTATTTTGCATGTTGCATTTGCTTTGATGTTCACATACTGCAGACACAAATCTAGCACTGCAAGCTTAATTATATCATGCTGCACAATCAAAAATGATTTGTGTTTGCCTTTAGTTGACTATTTACTATACCAAAAATTGTTTAAAGTAGAAATTGTAGAGTCTACCTTTTGCTCATGATGTGGTGTGCACACACACATTGAACGGCTGAAAAGTCGTTGCAAATGTGACAGAAGATCTGTATCGCTGTCATCATCATCATCATCCTCTGACCCACTGTCAACTTCTTGATCATGACCGACTTCTAGATCATCTGGTTAGACCCCACAGTCAAAAGATTAAAAAATACTCAATATAATATGTGGCAGAAGTATTAACAGGAAGTATTACTGCTATATTCAATTAATTTCCACAGGTGCACCGTAATAAATGCACATTACTAATCTGCTGAACTTAATGAATGAAGGCAATACTGGAAACATCTCATATACAATGTGCACATAATTCAACATATAGAACAATTTATGATACACTCATGACTCCAGGAGCACAACTTAGATCTACTCTCCACTTGCCTCTGATCACACAGTATATTTCACAGATGTTTTATAGAACATAATGTGACATGTGCGAAAAGCCGAGCCCACCCCCACACCAGCAGTGACGCGGCGGGTGAGCCAGCGCTCCCCTCCCACCCCTCAGCAGTAACGTAACGCTCCCGTAATAGGCGAGTAATCACCCCGCAATGCGCAACGCGCGGTGACGTCACGAGCGGAGCCGAAGAGAGCCGAGCGGAGCCGAAGATAGCCGAGCCCCGTAACCTGGCAACTACGCAATGCTAATCAACAGCGGTGACGTCACGCTAGCAACAGCGTCCTATGCTATCCGCCACGTCACACTAGCAACAGCGCAAGGCTATATAAGCGGACCCACAGCAGTGTGATGATCAGTTGAAACATAGCAGCCTGCGAGTGTGCGATAA